GCGTGACTTGAATGATGGCGCCGACATACCGGTGTATTCCTTTTTGGTGGGGCCTGACGTTATGGATGCCACATATATCAGCTCCGTCGTTTGGCATTCACCGTTGAGTGGGCAAGATGGCTTGTCTCGGCAGTTGCAGGGCTTTTCCGGTTTTTTCGTTTGCGGGCAGAGGACCGCTTTGTTGTGGCTTTTGATGCGTGCAGCCATATTTGGCATGCAACTGTAGCTTATCTTGATGGTGTTTTTTGTGAATATTTTTCCGAGCTTCGACTGCGGGGGGAAGTGCTTCTTAATGAGCGCGAGGAATCTTCCACCGATGTTTGTTTTCACATTACGGCTGTAGGGCGGGTTGTACCAAATCACCTTCCTCTTCCTTTTCTTCTTTTTGCTTGTTTTCTGTTTGAACTCTAGCGTGCTAGGGTGGCCGCTGGCGTTGAGGGCCTCCGCGTAGATGGGGATAGCATCACGGAACACCGCCTCTGAGCAGGAGATGCTTGCCAGTCGGTTGTTAATTCCAGCTGGGATGTTCTTAAGGACTTGCGGTGGGTGATTGGAGTTGACGTTGACATACAGTGGGGTGTCGTTGGGTTTTCGGTACGGTTGGTAGGTTCCTGTGGAGAGGCTCATTGTGATGTCTAGGTAGTTAACAGCGTTCAGGTTGACGTCTATCGTGATTTTTAGCCCCAGCGTCTTGAAGGTGTCGATGACAGCTTTCCGTACTTTGTCCGCACTGTGGCCAGTGGCGTTACGGAGGACGGCAAGCCCGTCGTCTCTGTAGAGGCCTACCGAGCCGCTACTGAAGTGCTGTTCGAGTTTACCCAGGAGGAAGGCGCCGACCAGCTCACATGCTTCAGCGCCATCGAAGGATCCCATGGTAACATCGAACAGCCCGTCTCTGTTTTTCTTTGCCCATGTTCGGTTAGCTCCGAATAGCAGTGACTGCCTCGCGTGTAGTATTATGTCGGCGTCACAGTCAGGAATTGCCACGAACTGCTTAGCGTAGGCGAGGGCTAGGCTCAGCAAGTTTTCGGAAATAGATGGATAGAAATCCACTATATCGAACATCACGAACGTGTGGCTAGCCTTCTCCTCGATTGCCCTGAACCAGTTTATGACGGAGGATGTGTTTTTCCATAGGTTGATGTTGGGTTTGTCCCGCAGCGCTTCCACTATGCCGCTCAGTATCTTTCTGCTGATAACGCCTATCTCCGGCTTCGCAGGGTTAATTAGGCGGCATGGTATGTTCCGGGGGAAGTTTTCTTTGTGGTCCTTGATGGTGACGAAAGCTTCTGCCTTTGCCATGGTGTCGATGCGGTCCTCCAGGCCCTTATCAGCAGCGATTTTCTTGGCCTCGTCGTTGATGGTGTCGTAGGAGCCTTCTGGTGCCGCTTGGTAGTTTCTTGTGATGTTGTCGTGGAGTAGCTTTCTGTATTCTTCTGGCGGCATCTTGTACAGGTTACGTGTTTTGTCTGCGGGTACGATTATGTCGTTGGAGCTGCTGATCGTTTGTAAGTCTTCCTTCATCTTGTCCTGTAGTTCGTTACGCACGCTTCGGTAAGTCACGCTGCCAATCATCTCATACATATCGTCTTCGAATTTCTTCATCTCGTCCACTTGCGGTGGGCATTTTCTTGTTTTGAATCCGAAGTTTTCTCCTTCTTGGTCGTCTTCCTTTCTGTCACCACGTAGGTAGAATATTGCTCTCCAGCGCATCCTCTTTATGAGTTGTTCCGTCCTTTCAATGAGACGTAGCGTGTACTCCTTGTGGCTGGGCAAGGGGATATTCTTCAGAGAGTATCCGAGGTTGACGCGCCTTGGGGTGTCCATTGTTGGGGTAGCACAGCTAAGGTAAGAGTGCTCTACCACGGGAAGTGGGAGCTAATTCACCGAAGGATGTACCCAGAGTGCTTGATAGTGCTCAACACCACAAAGGCAGAGCGTAATACACTACAGAACAACAAGGATAATCAAGGCTTGTTTGCTGCTACTTTAAGTTTCATGCTTACGCAATCATCAGGCAACATGAAGATCGGGTGCCGACCATGCCGGTATATATGCCAGGAGAGGGTGGTATAAAAAGCTGTGTGAGACTGTGGGGGCTAGCGCAGTAGCGGTGATGTTTTAGGCAGGGGGCTGTGTGCAGAGTGTGTGGTTGTTGAAGGCAGGGGCTAGCAGTGCAGTGTGAGCGCGAAGTGTGTGGCTGGTGTGGGCAGGAGGTGGTGAACAATGCGTGTGGATGATGTAGGCAGGAGGCTGTAGAGCTAGAAGTGTGATAATAGCGCAATGTAAATGGATATGTCTGGTGTGGGCAGGGTGTTATGAGCAAGGTGTGTGAACGTGAATGGTGTGGGCAGGAGGCTGTGGAGACATGTTTAGGTGACACCGTGGTTTTTTAGGAGATACTTGTTCTCGTGTCGGCACTTGGACACCATTTCGGAGCGCTTGTTGAGGCTGGACGGTGACCCTAGCGTGTTCAGGATGTGATACTTTTCTCTGGTACAGAGGGAACACCGCTTTGTGATGTTGGAGTATGCCCGGGCGCGATCTTTTATCCTCCATTCGACTTCGTATTGGGCGTTGGATTTCTTCAGCTTCCAGATGTAGTTGGAGAACTCAGTGCAGCTGGAGTACTTCTCGTATCTTGTTGTAGTCATGTGGTTGGCATGGCGTGACTTGAATGATGGCGCCGACATACCGGTGTATTCCTTTTTGGTGGGGCCTGACGTTATGGATGCCACATATATCAGCTCCGTCGTTTGGCATTCACCGTTGAGTGGACAAGATGGCTTGTCTCGGCAGTTGCAGGGCTTTTCCGGTTTTTTCGTTTGCGGGCAGAGGACCGCTTTGTTGTGGCTTTTGATGCGTGCAGCCATATTTGGCATGCAACTGTAGCTTATCTTGATGGTGTTTTTTGTGAATATTTTTCCGAGCTTCGACTGCGGGGGGAAGCAATCAAGGACCACAAAGAAAACTTCCCCCGGAACATACCATGCCGCCTAATTAACCCTGCGAAGCCGGAGATAGGCGTTATCAGCAGAAAGATACTGAGCGGCATAGTGGAAGCGCTGCGGGACAAACCCAACATCAACCTATGGAAAAACACATCCTCCGTCATAAACTGGTTCAGGGCAATCGAGGAGAAGGCTAGCCACACGTTCGTGATGTTCGATATAGTGGATTTCTATCCATCTATTTCCGAAAACTTGCTGAGCCTAGCCCTCGCCTACGCTAAGCAGTTCGTGGCAATTCCTGACTGTGACGCCGACATAATACTACACGCGAGGCAGTCACTGCTATTCGGAGCTAACCGAACATGGGCAAAGAAAAACAGAGACGGGCTGTTCGATGTTACCATGGGATCCTTCGATGGCGCTGAAGCATGTGAGCTGGTCGGCGCCTTCCTCCTGGGTAAACTCGAACAGCACTTCAGTAGCGGCTCGGTAGGCCTCTACAGAGACGACGGGCTTGCCGTCCTCCGTAACGCCACTGGCCACAGTGCGGACAAAGTACGGAAAGCTGTCATCGACACCTTCAAGACGCTGGGGCTAAAAATCACGATAGACGTCAACCTGAACGCTGTTAACTACCTAGACATCACAATGAGCCTCTCCACAGGAACCTACCAACCGTACCGAAAACCCAACGACACCCCACTGTATGTCAACGTCAACTCCAATCACCCACCGCAAGTCCTTAAGAACATCCCAGCTGGAATTAACAACCGACTGGCAAGCATCTCCTGCTCAGAGGCGGTGTTCCGTGATGCTATCCCCATCTACGCGGAGGCCCTCAACGCCAGCGGCCACCCTAGCACGCTAGAGTTCAAACAGAAAACAAGCAAAAAGAAGAAAAGGAAGAGGAAGGTGATTTGGTACAACCCGCCCTACAGCCGTAATGTGAAAACAAACATCGGTGGAAGATTCCTCGCGCTCATTAAGAAGCACTTCCCCCCGCAGTCGAAGCTCGGAAAAATATTCACAAAAAACACCATCAAGATAAGCTACAGTTGCATGCCAAATATGGCTGCACGCATCAAAAGCCACAACAAAGCGGTCCTCTGCCCGCAAACGAAAAAACCGGAAAAGCCCTGCAACTGCCGAGACAAGCCATCTTGTCCACTCAACGGTGAATGCCAAACGACGGAGCTGATATATGTGGCATCCATAACGTCAGGCCCCACCAAAAAGGAATACACCGGTATGTCGGCGCCATCATTCAAGTCACGCCATGCCAACCACATGACTACAACAAGATACGAGAAGTACTCCAGCTGCACTGAGTTCTCCAACTACATCTGGAAGCTGAAGAAATCCAACGCCCAATACGAAGTCGAATGGAGGATAAAAGATCGCGCCCGGGCATACTCCAACATCACGAAGCGGTGTTCCCTCTGTACCAGAGAAAAGTATCACATCCTGAACACGCTAGGGTCACCGTCCAGCCTCAACAAGCGCTCCGAAATGGTGTCCAAGTGCCGACACGAGAACAAGTATCTCCTAAAAAACCACGGGGTCACCTAAACATGTCTCCACAGCCTCCTGCCCACACCATTCACGTTCACACACCTTGCTCATAACACCCTGCCCACACCAGACATATCCATTTACATTGCGCTATTATCACACTTCTAGCTCTACAGCCTCCTGCCTACATCATCCACACGCATTGTTCACCACCTCCTGCCCACACCAGCCACACACTTCGCGCTCACACTGCACTGCTAGCCCCTGCCTTCAACAACCACACACTCTGCACACAGCCCCCTGCCTAAAACATCACCGCTACTGCGCTAGCCCCCACAGTCTCACACAGCTTTTTATACCACCCTCTCCTGGCATATATACCGGCATGGTCGGCACCCGATCTTCATGTTGCCTGATGATTGCGTAAGCATGAAACTTAAAGTAGCAGCAAACAAGCCTTGATTGTCCTTGTTGTTCTGTAGTGTATCCACCTACCCTAAAATAATTTAAATTTCATACGTGTATGATTGGACTCACTGTAACAACCAGCCATGTTCTGCCACATTCCCTTGTATGGACGTGCTGGTATGATCTCGCGCAAGGGTTTTCTGTAGCCCCTCTTGCATGTCACGTGACCATTCTCATCAATGTAGTCAAAGCCTTCATTCTTGCGAACGCCGTGGCTGGATACAGCACTCGCCGGAAAACGAGCTCCTGAGAAACACAAATCAAAGCAAAGAGGCAAATGTACAAGTTTGCTGAGCACCAGGGAGTTGTAAAGACACGGGAGAGGACCCTGGGCATAAAAGCGCCGACGATGTGTGCCTGGTGACCGCCGGGGAAGCCCCCCCGGTTGAGATTGTGGGAGCATCAGAATGTGCAGATATATTACGACTTTCAAGTTTTAAGTGATGGTTTCCATATGACTCGAAGATTACCCCAAATTCGATCAAGAATGAAAAAGAAAGATGCTTCCAGTGACATCGGAGCAACAAAAAGAACGTAGGAGCCTGCCAGAATGTGCCTGAGTATCTCTAGATTAGTTTTCCGGAGAGAAACGGCTGGGCGAGGTTATCCCAAGGGAACACAACACGTCCATCACACCAGTCATCGTTCACTTTGATGCCGTCGTAAAGATAGAGAAGGCGAATGACCTCTGGAACCGTCGAAGAAACTAATAGAAACTAAAACGGGCCTGGCTACATTTTGTGCCACTGTCTTCATAGGTTGGGTTCCTGGAAAGAACTGAATGGCCGAGTTTGGGCTAACGGAATGCACCACGTCCGTCACACTCACTGTCAGACGCAGAAAGTCCGAGAAATCACCTGTATTCATTCTTGATTACGGCTTCATTCGCTTCCACTTTACCCACTCTGATTAGCCTTAGTGAACCACAGTGCACATTTCTAACATCAGACAAATACTTGTTGAAAAATAATTGTTGAAAATATTTGTTCAAAGTGGGAAAGAGATCACCTCGGTAGGGCCATTTCCTCTTTGTCGTCGTGACATAAAGATTCGCGTTGAGAATACTCAGGGAAAACCGTTCACAGATATGGGCTTGAGTCGGACCCTGTCCGCGGAAATCTGTACCGCATCCTTTTCCGCGCCTCTACAACTCCCTGCTGAGCACAACGCGATGCAATTCACCTACTTTGCACACTTCCTATCACTTCCCTCGCACCGCACCATTCTTATTTTATTCTATCATTTCGCTGCTGCTTCTTGCAGCAATAGTATAGTATAGCAGCAATAGTATAGTCTTGTGATCAGGTTAAACCGAACTACCGGTAATAGCATTTTGCCGAAACAATCGAGAGAATCATGCCTTGGTAGAATTGCGGCGAAATGCTCTTTTTGAAAGAAAAAAAGGAGACAGATCCTTGCTGATACCACTCTCCGCTGTGCTCTCAACACACCATCAGGTGGTTCTTCCTTTCTTTCTTTGTGAAGTTTTATAGGAGAACAAGTTGTGCTAGGCAGTGTAGGCAAGCACTAGGCTGGAGCCTTTGCTGATAATTCGTAACTTAACTTATCGCGCTTGGTTGAAAGTATTTATTGACTGAGTAGATAAAATGGCCCTTCGTTGCAATAATGGATAGCTGTGGTGGCAAGCACAAGAACCAGTATGATGCATTATACTAGGTGCTTAAGTTCTCATGTGCTTTAAGGTCAAGGGAAAAAAGTCAACTTATGTAACCAAACTGGAACAAGAAATAACGTCCTTACTCAGTCAGAAATCAATCCCACAATGTTCTAAACGTGGACACACAGCACAGTGGCGTGTCCAGGATTTGGCTGGTGGGGGGTGCGGCCGGGGTGGGGTGGGGGTAGATAACATCGTGCTACTGTCCCAGGTCAGCCATTTTGAAAACTGATGTCAAGGAGCCATAAATCTCACACACCACGAGCAGTATTTCTGTACACGCAGCAACATTGTACATTGTAAACTTCAAATTTGCCATGGTTATGTGAGCGAATCAACTGCAATTTGTGCGAGTCCAACAATTTCTCACTGCTCAAAGCATCCTTTACTTAGGCAGCGGTACTATGTCCACTTGTCACTGTGCGCTGTTCTTCATGTTCTGGCTGCTCGCTGACAACAGGTGCTTCCACGTCTGGCGGAGTGTGACTGACAGTCTGCTCCGAAAGTTCAACTGGAATAACAGCGACTTCATCACTCCAACTGTTCCCTGTTGGAGCGGCAGCAGGAGTTGCGCCGCCACAGGAACGCTTTGCAAAAATCCATCCAGGCTCTGCTAGCCAAAGCTTGGCCTTTTGGGATGTCGCTGAGACATCGAAGAAAAGTCTTCGAGTCAACCAAAACACGATTCGAACGAGGATGATCGCCTGAGCCCTCGGCATTCGAATCGTGTCTTGGATGACTCGAAGACTTTTCTTCGATGTTTGTGCATTGAAGATGCGTCGAGTGCGTCCCCGCAGGGATCACACTGTACAACAGTACAGTGTACACAGTCAGGTCACCGTGTTTTACAGCTGTAGCCGGGCATGCTGACTGACTTTATTTTTCTCTCTTGAGTCTCGATCGACGAGATACCCCAGCAACACCTCTTTTACGGGAAAAATAAACTACATTATTAGAGCAAGACTTGATAAGAACACTTACGTAGCTTTAAAGACAGTCAGTGCAGTGCGTACATGTTTGTTTGAGTGCTACGCGCATGCCACAGTTCAGAAATGCACTACCAAGAGTACTACCAAGATAGAGTACATTATGATTGTATTCTTTGCTTTGTTTAGTTTTTTTTTTTACTTTTTTAGAAGTCCCGGTACATGAATACTCTGATGCCAAACACAGATATAGGAAGATAATAATTATTTATAATAGTACACAGGTGTGGAAAATATGCTGCATGCTGACTGGATGTACTGTACTCTGTGGACAGTGTAGTGTGTACAATCAACACCAGCTCGTGCACCGTACCGTGCAACCGCTTTTGGACGATCGTTTCAGGCCGCGCGCGCGCGCCATGAGCCTAGCGCTATAGCTAGCCCTGGCCCTGCCTTCTATTTTCCGAAACCTAGGTCGAAACCTTACTCAAGTTTTCAGTGTGTGTTAGTATCTACCTATCAGAGTTGCGGCTCTCCATGAGGCAGTTGCTGCCAATTGCATTGGCATTACTTTGTAATCCCATTGTGACACAATGTGGGTTTATGGTGATTCCTTGCGAGGGTTCATCGGGTGTTAGCGGCCGTTGTGAGCTCCCTTCGGGAACGGATACGATAATTTACTTTTTTTAAAACTTGCGATCCAATTGCTGCCAGTGACCGGGCATTGCGTTCCAGCTCTTTGAGCGTTTGCATTACAAGACCAGTTACTTGAACCAGCAAACTATTTGCAAAGTAAATTCTTTTCTGCCTTTGCTGAGTGCCAGTGTGTGACTCCGGGGCTATTGTGCAATGTGATAATTTCACCTACACTGTATATCTTCCGATCCAATATTTATTCACTTACCGTATTTCCCCGATTATACGTCGCACTCGATTATAATTATAAGTCCCACCCCATTTTCAGGTTTGAGCAATATTGTTGCGATATCTTCACTTCAGTAGAAAGTCATGCTCGATTGTAAGTCGCACCCCCCTTTTTACCCTGAAACTTAGTGTAAGAAGGTGCGACTTATAATCGGGGAAATACGGTACCCTTGTCCAATCCGCTTTAAACTCTGTGTGCATGACCGTCAGATGCAAACAATCAATCTCCAGTAAATGTCTGTTGTTGAGTATCACGGCTCACTTCCAGTAGCGCCTTGTAATCGCAAACTTGCAGGCCAAGAGGGATTTTTTCTTGGACGTTTACGAACCACATCATTACACCTACCGAATCGTCTCGCCTGTTTTCATTAGCTATTGTCTCTGGGACTCGCTTCCCCAAAAACTGAAATAATGTGAAAACATTTCTGCCTTTGTTCGTGACCATTTCCCGTAAACCTAATAATACAACTGGATTTGCAGCCCAATCTCTTCTTTTATTGTTGTTGTTCTGATTTGCACTTTTTTTGCAATGGCTGGCTATAATCGCCCTCGCCTCCTACTTGATTGGCCTTGGCCATGAGTGTGTGCGTAATGATAAAATTGATAATACCCAAATATTATGTAAACGCCTTTGAACAACACAATGCTCACTGCTGAGCTTCTAGCCGGTGAACGCTGAGAGAAAAGGGTATGGTGTTCTAATGTGCGCAACACATGCACGTTTGCCAATGCCGGCAGGTCCAAACGTTGGCATAAGACAATGCATGTGCGATGCATCAACAGTGTGTAATGAAAGACAGTAGATTACTCTCTACTTACCCACACAAACCGATGAAAGCATTGACCCGCTGACTTCTTTGCCATGTCTTGCGTACCAGAGGTTGATGTTGTCAAAGGTTGCGGCAATCTTCCTGCATTCTAAATCAGTACCCGTCTTCATTTCCATCAGTAAATTGTTCCATAGTGTCTCGCTTGGCAGGAAAAACCCGGTGTTATTGCGACACGCAGCCTGGGCATCAGTGTATGTTAGCTGTTGGTAAGTCTTGGTGTGCACAAGAACTTTCCAATGTCCGCACAATCTTTCATAGTCTCGGGTAGTAGGTCCTGGGAACAGGAAAGGCGAAATGTCGTGTTACAATAATCTTATTAAATGTGTGGAAAATGGAGGTTTGCACGCTGCAAACCGTAGTTAACATTCACGAAACCAACTATCCAAAAGGCGCCATTGCAACCAAGAGAGAGAAAAGAGCAGATATAATATTTGACGAAAACAATCACGGTGTAGATTTCACATCAATTCCAATACACCACATCAGCGAAGCTCTTTCTTGAAAAAATAACATAATAAAATAAGATAAATGAAATGACATCATTGAACATCACAGTCAGTCATGTGTGTCCACACCAAAATCACAGCCGGTCATGTGTGTTCATACCACCACAGAACAAATGTTAATCCAATTCTGACGGTCAACTACACACCTTCTGAGGGTTTCCAGGTGCCGGCTCGTCTTCGATGCGATAGCAGTGAACTTGACGTCTTGCTGGAGGGTAGTGACTAAACAGGACCTTGGAGCTCCCCTCCTGTGCCTCACAGCATCCTCCATTGATGCGTATGCAATCATTGCTTGATTGCCTGGTGTCGATAATGGCTGGCGTAGGAAGTGTCCAAGCAGACGCCATCTCGCTCCCTTTGCCATAGCGGATATTGGCTCAGTGTGAGCAAGCTCATACAGGTCATCATTCGACATGACACGAGGGTCGAAGATACCAAGCATATGGCGAACTGAGTTGCTTGGGATGGATCTTATCCAGGGAGTCTTCCAATGTCTTAGAGAGGCCTCCGCAGCCAATATTGTATGTGAGGATAGGAAGAATGTATGCGTTGTAGAGTCGTACCATGGTGTTAGTTTGTAGATGTTGCCGCCGAAACCAGATCGCCTGCATTCGACCAAATGCCACAGCAGAAAGAACAGTCCTGCGTGTCACATCTTGTGCAGTGCCAAACAGAGAGCCCAGAGTCCTGATGCTTCTCCGTAGCTCTTGACCACGTGCAGTTGTGTGGTACACTGCTGCTTCTGAAACTGGCTCAAGGTGCATCCTGACCCATTCCGTTTTAGAAACATTGACTTTCAGGTCCCACTTGTTGAAGATGTCCTCTGCAAGTGCCAGAAGCTGACGAAGATATGTGTGGGACGTTGATATGAAGTCAGCGTCGTCGGCATATGCTGTTTCCGGTGGTCACTGCGCATCGCAGTCGGTCTTGGTGGTAGTGCTGATCGAAGATCACGTAGTGCAGCTTCGAGGTATACCGTAAACAGTACAGGTGAAAGTCCGTCTCCTTGTGGAATTCCCGTTGTGGTTGGAAATGCAGGTGACTTAGATGATTCTACATTCACCTCAAGTGTCGTGTTGGCCATGAGGTATCGAATGATGCGTACCTCATCGTCATTAGCAACCTGCTCACTGAGGAGTACTTGCAGAAGCTTCTCTCTGTTCACAGTATCAAATGCCTTGCTGAAATCAAGGCCGAGGACATGAATTTCTGCACTGAATCTCTCCACAATCGACGAAAGCCACCTCTTGCACCAGACTACATCCGCCATCGACCTGTGGCTGCGAAAGCCGGACTGCCCGGGTGAAAGGTACTTCTCCACTCCAGGACGGATTCTGTTCAAGATAACGAGAGAAAGGGTTTTCCTGAGTGATGGGAGCAGGATGATCGGACGGAGATTAGCAGTAGAGCCCTTGGGCTTTCCCGGCTTCTGCAACGGAATGAGGGTGCCTTTGCGAAAACCACTGGCGGACAATGTGTGCACATCTATCTCTCCGATTTCGGTCAAAATTTGAAAGTAGGTTTTCTTTGGGGTGTTGATTGACTGTGCCAAGCTCTTGAGAAGGTTTCTCAAGTTGATGCTCAGATTGGCATACTCCTCAACAATGACCGTCGAAAAATCACATGTTGTTTTTGTTGCTGATGTTGTATACCTTATTTATAATGGAAATCTAAACAGGCATAATGGCTAATATTATTGCACCCACTGGATGATTAGTGTGTCTACAATCGAGCCACGCCACAGCGTACATGAACAAGACTTCATCAAGCCTCACCTTGGAAGAGTTCCTGGGGCAGCACCACTTAAACACGCCAGCATCCCAGAAGACGAGGACCATTACCCCCTGATGCCACAGATGATCGGATATAGCAAAATTACATGCGCTGATAAAACAGCGATCCACGTCATCAATTAGCAAAAACTATACACCTGCAGGTAGTAGAACACGTCTTTCTAAAGACTTTCTAGCTAATGTATTTTATATCATTGTTGAGTTCGAAACAGGACGACTGACGACACATTATCCAGACATTACAACGGGAACAGGTAGGTTGGGAACGACATTTATTAGAGACGACGAGACAAGAGACCAAGACGAACGAAACGACTACATGGTGATTATTGACGAGTGAGAAAAGAGAGAGAGCGAGATCAAGTCTAAACGGCAAGATAAAGGGCCTGGGTAGCTATGGCAAATATGGGCGGGCAAGTAGCTACCCAGGCCAACGGAGCAAAAGGAGACAAAAGGTGCGTACGCAAGTGCATGCAGGCCAGCTAGAAAAGGTACGGGAGGGGGTACCTAACATACCACCCCTCCATGAAAAAAAAATCCCGCGTCCTCGCGGAGAGAAAAAAAGAGAGAAAAAGATTAAAAAAAAATGACTGACGGAGAAAAAAACACACACACACACATACTGCACGCGCGCACGGATCTCACGAAAGTGTGTACTAAATGCACTACAGATTATTCCTGTACTTCTTATAGTGTGTAATAACTATTGGAGTTTGACGAGGAACATGAATTACTAGTATTTTGCACGGCTAATACAGCCTAGTTACACTTTTGCTAAACATCCAAAAATTAGAGCGTGGCTCACCATGATCGGACCCCTAACTTGGTAACGTTTTACGAACACACGCGCGCACACACACTACAAAAAAATTCACGAAAAAAAAATTTGACGAAGAAGGAACGCATACAAAAAAAGAAAGAGAGAAAGGTAGCTGACCTGCATGGCTTGAACGAGACTAGACGAGGTTGGCGTAGGAGAGACGAGGTTGATAGAGACGAGAAGAGTTTGGCGTAGGAGAGACGAGACTGACATGGACGAGACGAGGTTGACATAGACGAGACGAATGGCGGTTGAGGACGGCTGGGCATGGGATGATCTCAGGGTCGTGGGTCGATCAATAATCGGGCGCCAATGTTGAGTTCGAAACAGGACGACTGACGACACATTATCCAGACATTACAACGGGAACAGGTAGGTTGGGAACGACATTTATTAGAGACGACGAGACAAGAGACCAAGACGACCGAAACGACTACATGGTGATTATTGACGAGTGAGAAAAGAGAGAGAGCGAGATCAAGTCTAAACGGCAAGATAAAGGGCCTGGGTAGCTATGGCAAATATGGGCGGGCAAGTAGCTACCCAGGCCAACGGAGCAAAAGGAGACAAAAGGTGCGTACGCAAGTGCATGCAGGCCAGCTAGAAAAGGTACGGGAGGGGGTACCTAACATCATGAATACATAATGTAGTATGTATCAACATCCTGCACGCATCCACTTAGTGGATTATCAGCAAGACTGGTAGACTAGGACACTAACAACAGACTGTAAACATTGCGTAGTTGGTCATGGCTCTTTACAAGTGTCTTTCTAATGCTCCCCCCCCCTTCACACTCCACACTCTCTCCCCCCCCCCCCTTCACACTCCACACCCCCCCCCCCTTCACACTCCACACTCTCCCCCCCCCTTCACACTCCACACTCCCCCCTCCCTTCACACTCCACACTCTCCCACCCCTCCAAGCACCCCGTCCCGAAAACAATGTTATCGCCGGCGCCGTCCTGCCACGTCGCTACACCAGCAGTGGTAGTGGAGGCGTGGTTTCACGACTCGTGTCACGTTTGCTTATGCGTCGTATCTGTCAATTCAACAATGCCATGGCAACCAAAACATGTACCATAGTAACAAGTACGTTGTCATGGCAGGCATGTACTTACTGTAACATAGCATTTCCGGTGGTGAACCATCATCGCAGATGACCGTGCCTTGGTGCTTGAAAATAGCAGACCAAGTCAATTCAGGCGAGCGATAAACGTGACCATGATTTTTGCAACTCCCTCTCCCGAAATAGTAATACAATCTTCGAAGATACCAATTACCTTCAATCCAAGTGTAGTACTGCAGGGAGATGCAAGAACAAATCATGGTTCGCAACAAACTCAGTTAGACAGGGTTTTCCGTATCCATAGGAACGATACGGAATCAATAAAGTTAGAAAATAAAGTAATGGTCGAAAAGTTGGAGAAAAGATTCTGTATAGCTATGAATAGGATGAAGGCCGCAGACATCACGCAACTACGTTACTTGTTTGACATGTATTACTGTGTATTTTATAACAAAAAAATTATTGAAAACCCAGAATCGATTTTCTTGTTCCTATCATCAGTGGGAAAAAATACGGAACTAAGGATACAACCAAAGAAACTGAAGTTAAGTACTGTAAATAGAAAGGTGGTAGAAATAACATCAAAATACAAGTGCAATAAAACCACTAGAGGAAACGCAAAAAGGTAACACGATTACGTCGTAAGTTACAAACCAAAGGCGAGAAGGCACTGAACGAAGTGTCAACCTACGAATACAACTTCAGTGCAACAACGTACTCCTTCTGCTTACACAAACCAGGCTTATGAATACGTATGCAAACTGCCTCAAGGACTTTCAACTGTTGGACATAACGCGCACAACACAGTATAGAAAAATGAGAGTCATCATACACACCAAGACAGTCAGGACGAGATAACAAGTGTAGATACACAGCTGACTTCTTACGATCAACACATTCATCCGCCTCATCTCGCTCCTTCCCACCCGACTCCTCCTTGTCTTCATCCTTGTTGCAAACCACCAGTTCTCAAGTGGGAAAGGCCTTCGCGCTTATGGCATTGTATTCGTTGCAATGTTGTATTTCGACTCCGCCGTACCGCTGATGTTGTTGTAGTTGTAAGTCTAACATTACTTCTCCATCACTGCATCAGCTCAACCGCCACCACTGGACTGCCTTTTTACACTCTTTTCATTGACGAATAAACAAGAACACGGAAAACGACTCACATCTTGACAAGACGACAGACCAAAGACTAGCTCACACAGTTTCGCGCATGCGCACAACACCACCAACCAATGACGCGTGTCCACAGCGACCAAGACGAAACAAACACGTGACACCAAATCTACCACAGTGTTGCTGCATAGCATACGCTATATGCGCTGTGTGCGTTTTGCTGTATACGCTGTTATGTCCCGTTTTATATGCGTATGTTTTGCATGTACGCTGTTTTTGCATGCTATAAATAGCTGGTGTTATTAGTGTTCATTGTTAATTATTCGATGAAGTGAAATATACTAGGGGTCAAACGGGTGTACCTTTAACTAACGAACGGGTAATTTTCTTAACGGACGGGTTAACGGGTACCCTTTAGCAGCCATATTATTTTTTTGCGCATTTCTCACATAAATCATGATTTTAATTTGTATATTCTCAGGTTGTATTTTGGTACTACATTATGATTCTCAGGTTGTATTTTGATACTACATTATGATTCGCAATTGATTCGTGTATCATAATATTATTATGGCAATGAAGGTTCCAAATGAATGTCATCCGTGCATTTGCCCATGTACAGAACTTCACAGGCAGTAACTTACAATCGTACATGTAGATGGTCCTACAAGCTACATGTATTTTGATACCTGTACGCAAATCAACTGCAGATCGATGTGATTCAAGCCATGCAAGGACAGAGTGGTTTAGCAAAACTTCCGTGATCTCGCGCAATCCTATTTGCTATGTTCGCAGAGAACTGGTACTCGTTGCATTCAGAAGATGTTCGCGCCCATAGCTAGCTTGGGTGCCTGACACAGCTGATGTGCTGCTGGCCAGTTAGCTGCTAGTGCTAGCTTGTTGAACTCGTGAAATGAATCTTCACAAATCCGTAATCTTGTATGCAATATTTCGAACTACTTTTCAGCTCGTCGATTGAAGGAACAAACTACAACCATGAGTATCATACATGTAGCTACCACCTACGGACATCACCGTTTGTGACACTCCGACTGGTCACTCAGCCTGGTGACACTAGTTCATCAAGTACTGTGGCAGGTTCGATGTCGGAGAACCATCGTAACTTTCTAGTTACTCAGCTGCCACCTCGAACGAGTTTCAAGTCTTGCATTTTCTCACATCACAATCAAAAACCTCCAGTACGAGGATTTTTACTTGCACTAGAGTGGAGAGAACAACTGTCAAGTCTGTCTTTCAGCCTGCTCCTGCCTGATAAAGTCGAAAGCGGGAGTGCACAGGGAAAAGGAAAAGACTATCCGCACTCCTATTTTGAGTCTTGGAATACGATAGGATCACCTTTTTTCTTTTTCTTTTTTTTTTTTTTTCTTTTTTTTTTTTCTTTTTTTTTTACAAACGGGTACCCTTTTACTAACGGTACCTGAGATTAACGGGCGGGTACCCGGGTACCCGGTACACCCGTTTGACCCCTAAAATATACTGTGTAAAGGAAAAGAGTTGTCCTCGTGCCGTGTGGTCGTACGATCCTGACAATTTAGAACATCTTAGAGGGTTCACAACAATCCTATTCATAGCTATATTAAAATTATTATCTTCACGTAGATTATTTGTAAAAGATTCTGTCCTTTTGCAATAGATCCAAACTCCTTCAGGAAAAACAACATGTACAAAATGGCGACCACGTCGTCCATCGACGTGGAATCATACGAAATTAACTAGTGCAGCGACGAAAGAAAAGACACAGGTGAAGAAGAAGAAACAGTGCTGCAGCAAGAAGAGCAATCACGGCAGTCGCTAAACGCACTAGCATACTGCAGTTTGTATCCACAGGGGTAGTGGGGCAAGTAGTCACGAGGCCACGGAATAGAGTGTATACAAGTGCATGTCATACCGGCATGTAGGACAACAAGAAAGGAAAGGAAAGTCACGCACGAGCAAAGCAAATTTGAGAGGGCGAGACTAGTGAAACACTACGAAGAAATTGTTTGAGAACAAATGCACATAACTGCAATGAATAAGACAAGCTGAATCGACATTTGTGTATACAGTCAAACCTCTTTAGGACGAACACCAAGGGACCGATGGTATTTGTTCGTAATAACGGGAGTTCTTCTTATCCGTATTGTACACCCAGTGCCTGAATACACAGTGATTTATCCAATAGAGTTATGAACACTAGTTCTTCTAAACCGAAAGTTTGTCTTATCAGTGTTCTTCCTAACGAGGTTCCACTGTACTTTATTCATGCAATGTGAAATAGTGGAGCTAATGTGCAATAAAATGATGAAACGAACTTAGAAGTTGCGACTTCGGCGGTATTAGTGATGAAGTTGGTTGTTCCAACGAGGTACACACGCTTCCTGCCCACTAATTACTTGACACTTGGCTGACTCACGGCTGCCATCCGGAGCACACGAGGTACAACGTCGCACCTTCCACTGGGCAAACCTGCAAAAAAGCACTACCGTTCCTGCTAAAAACACAGTGTTTCGGGGAATTTACCCCTCATTGGTTGTGCTTGAGTAGGCTGATGAAGATTGTGCCCGAAAAGCACCACTTATATAGTGCTTTCCAGGCCAAACCATCAAAAGGGAAACAAACTTACTAAGTTCGTAGTGTTGTCCCTCACGCGGACTAGTTGTTTGAGGTGACAGCGCTGTGAATAGCAACTGGTTCTCAAGGTCTGGTTAGCGCAACTCCACGAGCGACTCTGACTCACGCTGCGACCTGCGGCCTTGGGGGGTGTTTGTCGGGCTGGAAACAAAGCGTCTCTGTAAGTTTGTTTCCCTGGTGATGGTTAAGGTCCGGCGGATAATGCTCCAAATATGTTTGTATAATGCTAATCATAATGCTCCAAAAACTAACTCATAATGCACATTATAATGCTTCAACAAGGGCTATAATGCTGTTGGTTTGGGTCAGAAAAGAAAGCCTGCACATGTTCAATCTGCCGTTGAGTAGGGCACAATATTTTCCACAAGCTCCACAACCTTGTAGCACTATAAGACATTATCGATTCGCATGTGCCTGCTCTCCATTGCAGCTTTAATGCAGAGCTATGGCTTAATAGTGTATACCGGCATCATATACAGTCTATATCGGCTATAGCGTACCCTTTTGATTTCCGTGATTTTATCACTATAACCGATGCATCACTATAATTATGCGATACGATCGATTTTTTCTTCTTTTTCAATCTACACATGAAAGGCAAGGAAATACAATGTACTTCCAGCATGGCGTTTTGACAAATGAGCATGCTGCATACATTGTAGTTGACAGTGCACGCATTTCCATAAAAAATTCTGTTATTTACATGTACATGTATCACTATAAAAATATGCAACGTGAAGAAAGTAAAAAATAGGGCCTTTGATATTATTGCTACATGTATTTTAAAGTTATCACGATAGCCGATAATAAGTATAGTGTGTTATGCATGTTTTGATTCTTTGTTGCCATCATAGTATCCGATATATCATTACATCCGATAATATTGGTTATAGTGATATTTGTACTGGATAAAATACGTTTTGCTTTTGATATTTCGTACTAATATCACTGTAGCCGGTATATTCTTGTATCCGGTCACTCTATAGCCGATACAGACTGTACTATCCCGGCATTATCCACGGAGTGACTGGTGTAAACTATGTTAGGGATCAGTGGAATGAGGTTTATCATGGCAACTGGCAGTCCTGCCTGCAGCCAACCTGTCGCTGCATTAGTTCTGTGAATAATCATCTGAAGCAGAAGATATTAGGGTAATCTTGGATCCAGATCCCTTCCATTTGCGGTGAGCGTGAAAAAATGTGGCCAGATCAATTTGCTGCTGTACTGCCTTTACTTTTATAGCCTTCTTCTCCTTGTGGTGTTGCCTAGACAACTGGGTGGCGATATTGACAAGAATACTTAAAGCTAAAAGCAGGCAAGAATGCGTTGCAAAGCGCTTGACTTGAAGGCGGCCAGTTTGGTGACGCCTCGGATAACCGCATGGAGAGAATTCCAGAGAACTGCGCCAGCATGTGTCACCAATTTGGTAGGATGTGCAGAAGCAGCTGCAGGGACGATAAGCAGGTTACTGTTGCCTTCTCGA